AAACAGGTCATCAAACAAAGCTTTGTCATGTTGGGAGTAAAGATTTGTGTAAGTAAGTAAGTAAGTAAATAAGTAAGTAAGTAAGTAAGTAAAATTTTATTTATAAAGCACTTTTCTTAGAAATGACTTCACAAAGTGCTGTACAATATAAAAATACACAATACAAGAAAAATATCATGGAGCCGTCAAGTATTTCCTGAGCTGAGTAAAGTAATTAATATGGCTGTGTATTGCCAAGAAATTGGTGATATGATGCACGACAAAGGAAATGTAATCAGTATAAAGAGCACACCTAGCTTTACATGCATTAAATCTGAATAAAATAAATTCAATTCCTTTTATGTAATCCATTGAACACTGAACAGTGAGAATTGCATTTGTATTTCACATTTCTTCTTAGGTCTGTTCATTAAGCCTTAACTAAAAATGGATACATTATCAGGATATGAAATATTGCGATATTTCAGTGTATCGATATTTTCTTACATCTAATATCAGTAACATCACTCCTCACCTCCTCTCTTGTCTTGTCAAGCTCCGCCTCCAGGAGGGACAGACGTGTGTCCAGCTGTTGGACCCGGTGGCTGAGCTCTGTGTTGGTCCTGTTCAGAGAGGCCTCCTTCAGCCTCAGAGAGCGCACCTGCTGCTGCAGCTCCTCTTCCCGCTGCTCCAACAGCTTCCTGGGAGGAGGACAGTGTGGAAATAAAAYGAAGAGCGCCTCGCAGGGGAACAAAATAAAAATCTGTCACTGTTGAGGRGAGGTCACCTGGTGATGTGCTCCTCCTGCTGCTGGGCTCTCAGGGCAGCCAAAGTGTCAGACAGATCCCTGCTGTCCCTCTCCAGRCGGCTGCTCTCACCGGCCCGAGCCTCTTCTACACGCAGCTGGTGCTGAGCGCTCTTCAGCWGCTGCTGCAGCTCCAATACCTTTCATCAAAACCAAACCCCAGACTGCACTCAGACACATAAACTTTCATCCATTTCAAAGACGTGTTGAGATTATTATTTTTAAAATCCCTGACAGAAGCTGATTAGAAAGAAATCAAGAGTTACATTAAGAAAGGMAGAACACATGTTCCATCATCTCTAGAACAAATGGTCGCTCTGCAACTTAATATCCAGATAGGGATTAACTTCATTAGGGATTGAGGACAAATTAGGTCACAGACAGTATATCCCATTAAAGGGATCAATATGAGATTTAGATATTTTATTCATAAGCAGAGAAGAATAAAGGAATATACTGTCAGTATTACAAGGTCGACTCTCAGTTTGAACTGAACTCACTGAAGCTAAAACAGGCGGCCTGAGTGTGAGTCTGTCTTATTTTTAGTGTTACCAAGCTCACCAGCTGACGTGTGTCTTTATATTGTCATACATGCTTCATAAACAAAATTATAAAAATACTAATTAAAGGTCTAACATTCTTTAAAAAGACTGCATATTGAGTTTTATACCAGAGATTGTCATACGTTGAGAAATTATGACATTGTAGCCATTTTGGACAAAATTAAAAACATTATTTAGGATTCAAGGTTTCAAAGTGTTTGTCATATACACAGATGAAACATGTTTCCCTGAGCAATGAAATTCTTACTTTGCTATCCACAGTGACGCTAAGAGACAACCGATGGAAAAAAAAATGAACACTTAAAGGATAATAAGATAAAGGATAGGACAAAAGACCAAACTTCAAAAAGAGACAAAAATAGAGAGAATAGCATCAAGAAAGTGCAGATGTGTAACAGGTAACAGTCTGAAAGGTGCAAATGTGCAGTATTAATAGTCAGAAAATTGTCACATTCAGCTGTAAATATGAGTAATTTCATGTGATGTTAGACGTCACACTGACATTATGTGTTGTAAACACTCAGCAACTGTCACATGAAATTTTAGTTCAATATTTAACATTATATATTTAATCAGTTAGGCAGAGGCTAACGTTGGTTAGCTGTTAAAGACAACTAACAGCGGAGCTGCTCTCAGAATGGGACCAACATGTGGCAGCACTTACCTTCTTGTCAGCAGCAATGAGGCGTAGCCTCTCTGCCTGTAACTCCTCCTGCATGCTGGTGGCGGCGCCGCGCTTTGTGCTGTTGCGTGCCAGCTCCAGCTCCAGTTCCCGGACCTTCTGCTGCTGCCGTTCGCTCTCAGCAGCCTGAGTTTGGACTTTCTGTTCCACTTGCACCAGTTTGAGCTGGGCCTGTTTCAGTTCTGCACAAAGCTGAAGGGAACACATTCAAAATGGAGCGCTTTCGCTGGTGGGGGTGGGGGCAAAATACATAGGCAGCACTGTGCAAAAGTCTTAAATTATCATGCATTTCTTGAAGTAATGACAGAAAATAAGGCTTTTTTTTTTTAAAGAAAACCCCATCTGGATAACCATTTTTTAAAGGTCATTTTAAAAAGTATAAGAAAATTTGTTTATTTTTAGTGGCAACTTATAAAGAAAGGCTGACTTTTTCACACTCCTGGACATAGTACGCATGTCTACCCTGCTGAAGTTTATAACGCTGCTTTAAATGAGCTCATCTTGATAAGCATTCAAAAGCCTGGGTGACTAACAGAACGATTAAGATGGTGATTATGTGGTAAATATCAGAAGCAGACAGGAAGTTCGAAACGTGCTAGAGTTAAATACCAACTTTGAGTTTCTCCTGCTCCAGCAGCRTGTTGTGTCTCTTCAGATCCATGTTCTTCTCCTTCTCGTAGCGCAGCTCTCTCTCAGCTGATGTAAAGAGGCTCTGAACTCTCTGCACGTCCTGTTTCATCTGCTTAGCTTCCTCCGTCTTCTGGCTCAGCAATGAATCTTGGGACTGGAGATGGAAACAACAGCCAGTGTTGGGATGACCAGACAGGTAGAACAAACAGAAAAAAAAACTCTCAATTAATTTAATTATGACCGATATGAATCATCGAGTCAAATGGCTAATTATAAAGATGATATTCAGACCAGTTTGAAGTCTTTTTGAAGCATTGCTTAAAGTACAAAAGCTAATGCAGCTGTACCAATGTAAAAGCTGATTCATATGATAAACATACAGAATCAAAATAATACACGTACATATCAAAATAACATTATTATCTCAGGATGCTAGAGWGTGTTAATATCATTATGTACCTTAAGATGTGCCTGGGCTTCATTCACCTGAGCTTGAAGCACCATTTGGTGCTGAGAGGCCAGCTGCCGCTCCTCCTCCAGCTTATTCTGAAGACGACTCAGCTCTTTCTTCAAAGATGAAAGCGATGAACATCAGAGACACATWGAGTAGAAGAGGAAATTAATTTCCATCATGATTTATAGGAACATTAAAGCTTAGCGCTGAGAGATTTTCTACACCATCCTGCCCTAGTTTTTCATYATTTAACAAAAAAAAACTAGATCATTTCACTTAAACCTTTTGACAAGTAATACCAGGTATGTAAAGTTACCTGATCCAAACCCTCAAACTTGGCGTTCTGCACAAGACTGAGCCTCGATTCTGTTTGAAGAACTGTCTTCTGGCTGCGACTCAGCGCCTCCTTTGCAGAGGATAGCTGCTCTTGATGCAGTGAAAGCTCCTTATTAAGACGTTGTATCTCCAGCTCAAGTCTCTCTCTTCCCCCTTCGGCTGCGAGCTTCTTCTGCACGGTGGAGCTTAGCTCGGCTTGAAGTTCAGCCGTCTTCAGTCGTTCAGACGCCATCTCATCCCTGGAAAATGTGCACACATATGCAAACTGAGCCAAGCTTCATGGTCTTATCTTGTCCCTGGTCATAGAAAAACAACAGATGCTAACAGTACTAATCGTTTCTACCCAGAGAATGGTCTAAACTCAGGGCTAAAGTCTGCACTGGAAACCACCTCAGAGTGTTGTGTGTCTTCTGGAGGCTGCTGAGTTCRGCTGTCAGACGATCCATCTGTTCCTGCTGGTCCAAGTGAAACCTGTTTTCCCTAAAGTCTAACTGAGTCGGGGTTTTGTCTTTGCAGCGGTCCAGCTCGGTCTGAAGTCTGCTGTGGGAGCGCTCCATCTGRGCCACCTAAAAAGAGCAGAGTTCAACACTGGGGTCAGACAAMCTAAAAATCAAAGTTGTAATTAAACCAACATAACCATTTATTTTTAATGTGCTTATAGTGAAAATGTTTTTATGTCAGGTTCAAAAATATATAATAAGCAGAGAAGTAAAAGTGAACAAACCTTTTCCTCTAAAACTGCCTTTTCTCCCTTCACTTGAGTCAAGCTTTTGATGAGTGTTTTCCCTTGTTGGCATTCGGTCTGAAGCCCACTCACCTCAAGTCTCAGTTTCTTTAGCTCTCGCTCACCTATCTGCAAAGCCTTGAGAGTGGATAATTTTTGTTTTTATTGACAAAAGGTTTTACTCACAGTTCAGCTTAGAATTTTATTTTAATATATACAACATGCAAATAAATCCCTATCAAACAATGGAAGATTTGGTTCATGCCATAATTTGGTACAAATCAAACGATGTTTACACTTGTTCAAATGATCCGCACCAACAGGGCGATCAGAACTGGTTAAATGCAAACACTCCATAAATTCAACAATAACTCGTTGCACCGTCTTTGTATTTTTAAATTRCAGGCAGACATTTACACACGTTTAAAATGGTTTCATGCAGACGAATGCAGGCGGATGCTTTTTTTTTTTACCTCTTTATCCTTTTTGAGTGCCGTCTGGGCAGCACTGAGATCCAACTCCAGCTGTTTCCTCCACTCCTTCTCCTCGGTCAGGCGGGCCTCCAGCAGAGCCATTCTCTCCTGGGTGCTGTCCCTGAGGTGCTTTATGCAAGGTCAGAGGAGAGCGCTGTGCATTACAACGTTTTCATATAGATACTGACATTTAACTTTCCGTATGAGTCACAATCAATTTGTCACTAACGTTGAGGTCAAACCAGAGTAGTCTTAAAATGTTGACACATTACAGTGACATCATCGGAGGAAACGTTACTGAAACTGAAAAAAAGAGAGTAATTTCCTACCAACTGCAAATAAGACTCAGAGGGTTTAACATCCTCGCCGTTCTTCAGCATTTTATCTTGAGCGTCCTGCTTTTTCATCTCTGCCTCCAGGCTTTTGATCTGAAGAAGAAGCCATGAAAAAGATTGCAGAACTGATTTATAATGAGATATTTTGTTTCTTCAATATATATAAACTTGTTTTTAAATTGTTTCCTGCATAAAATAATATCTCATTTTACTACCCACTTACAACCAGTGCAGCAGTGCTGAGAAAGAACTACTCTCTGCCCATTACCCTTCTGTGCAGTCCTTCCAGTTCTCCCTCATGGCGATGCCGGTCTTCCTTGCTGGCATTCTGAGCCTCCCCCAGCAGGGCCTCCAGCTCCTCATTCCTCTCCTCCAGCTCTTCCTGTTCCTTCCGTAGCCGCTGGAGTTGCCGTTGCAACTCTCTCACCTGAACGAGTCCGTCTTCCACTGCCTCCTGACACCTATCAGGTAACAACCATAAAGAAACCATGATTTAAGTTTCAAAACTCTTCCATAAAGTCAACATAAATTTGTCAGATTCTAACACATGAAGAGGATCTACCGTTTGTGAAGTTGAGCCTTTTCTTGGACTGACTCACTGTTCTTGTCCTTCAGATCCTTTCTGGCTGAATCATTTTTTGTCAGCTACGCAAACACAAACCAAACAGAGATAAAGTAAGACAACAATCTTTGTGAGTTTCTATTTTAGGGGAGAAATATAAAATCAGCGTGTACAGACCTGATCCAGGAGATTTTTTTTCTCTGACTCTATGATGTGAACTTTCTCCCGGAGAGTCCTGTTCTCAGCATCCAGTTGGTCGTTCTGCTCTTTGGCCTGTTGCAGCTTCATCACATCTGTGAACAGAAATGTGACGTTACAAATGTATATTTTATGCTTCTTTTACATTTGGTATATTTTTTTCATTTTAACCATGCAACTTTGATCCAAGGGCAACAGGAGARTTAAAATGTGAAACTTTCATTTTACAAAATGCTTTTGCAAGCTAGTTCAAAAACAAAAGTCATTCACCAGCTTTCCAATAAAAATACTTGTTTAAAGCTTTATATAAAAGACATTTTGTGTGTTTTTAAGGTAATTTTCTATTTGTGTTTACATTACAAGTAGGTTGTAAACAAAACTACATTTAATAGAAAGGCAACAACATCATCAGAAAACGGAAAATGCTCTTAAAGTTTTAAGGAAAAAAAAGCACAATAAAACAGCTCTGACAATATCTGCACTGGACAAACATAATTATTCTTGACTGTAAGCAAAAGCAGCCTACGTCTTTAGGTCCTACACATTTATTTTAAAGATTGTCACCACGTGACAGCAAAAAACTACAACAGACCCATGTTTTTGCAAAACTGCATTCAGCACTAACACAGAGGAGACAAGAAAAAAGAAGAAGACAAAGAAAGGAAAAGAAGAAAGAAGGAAAGAAAGAAGACAAATTAAAAAAAAATTGCTCTGGAGAAGTAACTTCAATCTACACCAATCCATAGACTGTCTATGAATAAAATAAAATAAAATAAAATAAAATAAAATAAAATAAACATCTGTTTTCTAAGTTTATTCTAATTGATTAAAATATATGCACACCTTCCAAACCTACTTGTTCTGATTAATTAATAATAAATAAATWAATAAATTAATTAATTAATTATGTGTGACATTCACATCGCTCTGTCTCACCRCTGTGTTTCAGTTTGTCCACTTCTGTCTTCAGGAATTCTAATTCTTCAACTGTCCCCTGAAGCTCACATCCTGGGATAATAAACAGGTTTTAATCACTAAAAATACATTTAATGAKTCTTGCTATTTTTCTTAAATTAAATGTATCAAATAACGCAGCTGAATGTTTTTAGTTGACTGTAATAACATGTTTCTAATTGGCAGAAAAAAGGAGAAAAGTGAAACTCATAGTTAAACAATAACAGACATTTTTAATGATGGACACGGCAAGCTGTTCAGCCACTGACCTTTAACAGTACTTATGATAAATGTTACAATGTTCATGTAAAATAATACTATAAAGGGTGTACAAAGTTAAATATGGCATACCGAACATAAATCTCTAGTTTGTGCAACATACCACTAGTGTTTTGATTGTTGTTTCTGGCTTCATCCAGCTCATTGGTGAGTCTGCGGATATCCTGATGAGCCATGGCCAGCCTCCTGGACGCCTCCTCCAGATCTCGCTCCAGCCGCTGCCTCTCATCCCGATCCCTGGAAATCTCTTCACTGTGGGCCTGATGTAAAAACAACAAGGGGTAGATGGTTAGTGTGGGAGAAGAACAGCAAAAAAAAAAAAAAAAAACTGGCAGTTTGACCGGAGATGCAAGTGAGCCAACATGCAGTTGTGAAAACCATGCACTTTCAGGCAGAGGTTTGTCATCATTGCAGGCCTGAAGAGAAGGAAGAGACAAGTACTTATTTGGGTTTTAGTTGCAATGAAAGGCAAATTGAGGAAAATATACCCGYGCTGTTGCAACATTGGTGGTTTTGTTTTTTCCTCGTCTCTTTAAAAAGCTACATTTTTTATTTAAAAAAAGATGAAACAGAAACACAAAGCCAGAGCTGAGAGCATTTGGCATGCAGGAAGAACCACTTTAATAGGAAACAAAAAGTGAGCAGTGTTATTTCATATACATAATGATTACTGCTGAAACCCTATGTATGTGATACTGAAGTGATCCATGTCAAACATCTTCATACACATGCAACAACTGGTGCTTTTTATCATATTCATTGTGCAAAATATTTTAAAAGGTTGACACCCTTATTTTTGGTTTTCAACACAATACCGGTGTTAGTAATGAGTTAGAACCAGCTGTAAAGTGTAAACCTACAGGAGTCACATTGTGTTTGCTCTGACCAGACCTGTGCAGACCAAACAGCTTCTTCCATGGACTCTGGGATGAACACTGCTGAGAGGAAAAATCAGCGTGTGTACCATGATCAAGCTGTCCTTTACAGTGACCGAGGAAGTTAGGTTGGTTTCGTCTCCAAACTTCATTCGGCATAGATAATTATTTTAAAAAAAAAAGGTCACCTCACCTTTGTCATGCCGTCTACACYGGTCTTCTGCACGTCCTCTCTCTGCTGCTGTCGGTTCGCTCCCATCATCTGACAAATGTGATCCTTTTTAAAGTGTCACAAACCAGAAAAAAAAAAAACTTTTAAACCACATTTATATGGTGTCTTTATGTACTTTGGTTAGTTACCARTTACATTTGATTACAACTGTGAAGTCTATTTAAAATATTTAATGTGAGCGATGACTGCACTTTTATGATGCAAGAGGCCTACAGTTCAAATCAAGAAACTAAAAAAAAAAAACCCCACTGTATCATGTGTGACGACAGCTATGAAAACAGTTCGAGTAAAAGCTAAATATTTATATTATTTTTCAAACTCTAAATTCCAAATGCTTCTGAAGGCTTCCATTAAAAGAATGAAACTTAATGTAATACATAGATCAWAGAAATTCTATAYTTTAAAACACRTRTCAAACTCAAGGCCCATCTGGMYCGYGGGTCACTCCTACGTGGCCCACCAGGGGGGTACACCCCACCCCCAAAAAAATTTAACTTAACATGAAAATTGTTCCTTATATCAATGGTAAACTTGAAATTTATGATTAAATGCAACAAAATAAATTTAAAAGGTGAAAGATAACAACAACTGTCCTGCCCCTGAGCTGTTGGCTTTAAGTAACTGAGCAGTTTAGTTGGATAGCTCAGTATTAATGTCTAAAAATAAGCTGCTTTAAAGTCAGCATCAACCATAAACTAAATCTGCCATAACGCAGCTACTCACTAGAAACTCATCAGTGAGTAAAACTTTATTAGTTTTACTTTTAATAATATTTCTGTATTTGTTGCAGATTTAGTCAGTGACGTGTTAAAGAACTGTTTAGTCAAAGTTAAAAATGAAACATCAAAGTTCATTATAAGTGGCTCTTCGAGGGCCACCATAACACTCATGTGGCCCTCCGTGAAAATGAGTTTGACACCCTTGCTTTAAAATAACCAACAAATTTTGTTTTGTGTCAAAATGGTTTAAAGTTGGTGCAAAACAATAAGAAAATGGGTCAGTGACTTGGAAAATGAAGAGCATTAAACAAATTGTGTTGCCAATGAAAATTTTATTTATGTTATTTTTTCTGATCTCTATAAACTTGTGTTACTTTTTTTGGAAGAACTGATTCTTTTATTTATTTTATTTTTTACCTGGTGGTAGCAGTCTTTAAAGTTGCCAGCGAGACTCTGACTTTCCAGTTTGCCTTCAGCAGCCTCCAGCCTTTCCAACAGGGTGGCTCTCTCCACCAGCAGGTAAGCCACCTGCTCGCTGGGGCTGCTCAAACCCATCTCCCCCAGGTCTTCCTGAGCCAACATTTCAGCCAGCTCCTTACTCTGCGAGTCTTWAAAAAAAAACAGAATTCCTCATTAGTCTTTAACTACACAACATCTGAAACACCGTCTTCCACACAAACACAAGTAAATATCTAACTTAGGAGTAGTGTTTCCTGAAAAGCAAAAGTATTCAAGGTGCATTAAAAGTAGCAACAAGGATGCCAAAACCATTAATAATTTACTGTTTTCACCTTGTTGATGTTTGATCTGGTGAAGTTCGTGTCGCAACTCTTCGTTGTCCCTCTCATATTCTGCAGTCAGACACTCACGCTCCTCCAGCAATGTTCGAATATGCGCCACATAACTTTCCACCTGATAGTTTAAAAAAAATTAAAACCACATCAGCTATGGTCAGAAAACTATATATTTTTTAAAACTGTACTAATTGTAAATACATCAGAAGTTAAATAGCTCAAAAACTTGCTGCGGTGYCGTTTAGCTGACCCAACCCTTCCACTGAACCGTGAACCACGAACAGCTGAAGCTGTGGCTGCAACAGCGGGTCAACTGAAAGACGACTGAAACGTCTCACCTCCTTCATTTCGTTGGCCTGCTGGGTGCGTAACGTCTGCACCTCCTGGGTGGCTGACTGGAGCTTTGCCTCGCTGCTGAGCAGCTGCTGCCACAGATGTCGCTGCCGCTCCTCCACACTCGCCTCTGGGGGCAAACCATCCTCCTGAAGCCGCTTAGAAATTTGGCCCAGCTCCGTCCTAACCTGAAGAAACGGGGAAGGATTTAAACGTTTTGTGTGAAAATAGCATATTTATCCAACAGGTGTTAAAGTTAGATGTGAAGCTGCAGTGTATAAAAAAAAAATTTTTTTTTCTATAAGAACTGAGAAAAATCTATATTTTGGCAGACTGAAAGCTCCCTGTGTTAGTCTGAATATACAGTATATGGATACTGGTCGACTTTATTTAACATGTGAAAATACTATAAGATTGTAAATTGTAATACAAGTTGCAGCCTAAATAAGCATGACAGATTAATACTTACAGCTGTGTGGTAAATTTTCAGCATGTCAGTCAAACTGAACCTGATCTTCTTGATGCTCATAACACAACAGAGGCTAACAGCACTAACCACCTGTTACTGCACTTTATAGGGCTTGCAACGTGAGCTGAAACCATGCAGCCTTCAGACTGCCAGAGGAGCTGTCTCTGCTCCAAAAACATGCAGCATGTTGTCACAGACAACATGTCATGTCTCATGTGTCCCGTGCACTTATACAGGAAGCCTACTGGTCTATGATGGAACAAATGGTTAAAGGATCAGCTATGATTGTAAGACAAACTCAATCTGTGGATGCTTTTATTTGTTATATMTGTTGTCCTTTGTCTTGATTTAATCAATCAAAGTACTCGATGTAAAACATATTAAAAGTAGGGCTGTGAAATTTATCGAGTTAACTCTGATTAATTTTAGTGCTGCACGGGCATAGATTAAAAACTTTAATCGCGATTAAA